ACACCTTAAACCAGATAATTATGGCCAAAACTATAAATCAGCCAGCTATCCAAAAGATACCAACAGATAGTTTAGATGCCTCTCTAGATACTCAGGTGCTTAAAGATCTACGGCTAACGCCGAGTCTCGCGTATCGATTTCTCGTGGGCGTTTATGTTAATCGATTGAACGTATGTGTGTGTATGTGTGTGCTCTGTCTTTGTATACCCTATAGGGGTAGATCATCTCGTAGGAGAATGACAGCTGCTTTGCAATCGAATAAATAGTGAGCTTAATAAGATGAATGAATGGATGGTCTAATGGGATATGTAGATCAAATCAAAGCTCAACAAGGAATATCGATAAATATCGATATGCTTCTTCTAGCTCAATTAGCTAACTATATATGAATTAGTAATAGGGTGTATATGATAGTCGTTCAGCCCAGCCACAGAGCATGTTCATTCAGATAATTTTTTGTCTTATTTTTTGGCTGCAAATCGAAAGCCACAAAACTAAGGCGAAGCGCTGCCTGTGAAGCATTCCACACACGAAATACGCCAACAACAACAACAACTACACACACACACACACACACACGCGTATATATACTCATACATGTATTATATGCTGAGCTACAAATTCTGGCTTTTGTCTTTTGTTGGCTCGTTTTTGTGGCTTTTAGCCACGTGCTGTATCACTCCAGCGTCTCAAACTCATTTCGTTTTTCTGTTTTTTATGGAAATTAACATTTTTTAATGGGTTTCTTTTGGCTGTATACCGTGCAGGCGGGTCGAGTGCGTAAGCAGGGCATATTAGTTGCTAGAGATGCCCACAACTACAAAATACATATGCATTCTGGGTCTAGTCAATCGCGCATCGTCTGAAATTTTAGCAACTCATTGCTAGCAGCACTACAGGGTATCTACTAGTGGAGCTCACGCTTACTCGTTCATTCTTCAAATGTTGTTATTCACAACATTAATTGCTTTGCTGCATATCTTTATGGAAATACAGCAAGATATCTATTACATATAGTAAACATATGTATATATGTATATATATTTATTTATGCATGTATACATATATATATATATATGTGTGTGTATACATCCATCTAGAAGTCAACAATTCGTTAATCATTATCGTAATTTGGTGGCCCGAACGGGGTCTCCATCTCAATCTCTCTCGGATCTGTGTTGCGTGGAAAATGCAACAGCGAAACAATGGACAAAACAGATCTGGCAAAAGGCATTTAACGGTTATTATTCAAGCTGCAGGTGCAGCCAGGCAAGCGGGCATGGGGCTGCAGGAAATTAAGAAATACAGCCAAACAGCATCGGAAATTTGGTGTGTAAACGGAGCCACAGTTGGCCACTTGCGATGCCAGAGCCATCTAGCGGCGAGTAGCGTTTGGTTGCAGTCTAAAAACTTCATGGCAAATCATTTTAAATGTCTCTAATGAGCAAATGATGCAGACAATTGTGATATGCAGCTTTTCTCTCTCTCGCTCTCTCTCTCGTTCTCACTCTATCTCCCTCTTTCTCTCTCTCTCCATTTGCCATTTTATGGTTTTTGGATTCTTCTATGGGTATTATGCAAGCTGCAGGTGCTACTAGTTGGTGAAAGTAGCACTTGCAGCATGAAGCAAAGGAATGTCAGCGACTGGGCGCCATCTAGCGTCGAGTAGCGCTTCCTATTGATTAGAGCTAGAAGCAAACGTGCTCGAAATGCCACACTAATGAGCAAATGATGCATGCAATTGAGAATTTTAGTCTTGCTCTCCCTCTCTCTCTTACTCCCTCTCTCTATCTGCACAGCAGCCACTTGAACAAGTTGTGGGAGTGAAGTTCAAGTGGAGGAAAGGAGAGCGAGCGCCACAGAGCGGGAGCCGCTGCAGTTTCTGCTCAGCTCATATCTTAATCAATCAATCTACAATTTAAAATCGATTAACMAACCAAAAACAAAAACAACAAAAAGCAGCTCCAAAGTGAGTTGGGAAAATAAAGTTGAATTGCTCCTGCAAGAAGTCCGATCCGCTGGCTTAGTTGAGATGTTGTTGAAATTTGTGCGCCTCGAGTGCTGAACGAAAATGCGAGATGGAGAGAAACAAAATAACAGAACGCAAACAAAAACGAAAGACAAGAAAACGACACGCAACACAACACAAAAGATCGGCTACAGAAAACATATAATTACAGCCAAGCCAGCGTGATGACGATGATCATCATCATGATCGTTATGATGATGGTGATGCTGCTGGCTCTGCTGGCTCCTCTTCAGCAGTTACAGTTCATTCACGCCCCCTCAGTCGATAAGCTCGGCGACGCCCACCACAAAGCGCTGAATGTGGCCAAGTGACAAATGGTTGATATGGAATGCTGCCTCCCCCACTGCCTCTGCCGGCCCTCTAATTGTCTAATAGAACTGCGAAGAATAGAACAGAAAGAGGGAAGATGGAAGATGAATGCTAAACGAGCCGCCGATAGCAATCTCTCTTCTTTTTATAATATTTCAAATAGAAATTCAAGGAATTACAAATATCGTTTGGGTGTCAAGCCCGCGACCTCTCGCACCCCGTTAGCAATCTCTATTATTATAATAATATTTCAAAAAGAAAATGGAAAAGAAAAAGTAACACTAGGGCTCGGCCGGGAGTTGAACCCGCGGCCGCTCGCACCCGCAGCGAGAATCATACCCCTGGACCAACGAGACGTGCTAATTTGCAATACTGAAATAACAATTGCTCTTCTGCGTGAGTGTGTTTATGTGTGTGTGTGAGCAAATTTCAATTGCAGCTAGCTGTAAGGAGCGACGGAGTAGAAGAGAGCCACGGTTGCGAGTGGGAGGGAGAAAGGAGTATGCTGTTGACTCTAAGAAGTTTTTGTTGTTGCTTTGAGCAAGTTGTTGCTGCTGCAGGATAGGAGAGAAGCAAAGGAAGAGAGGAACATGCGGTTGCGGGAGGGAGAAAGCAATATGCTGCAGTTGCCTTGTTAAGTAAATTTTAGAAGTTGTTGTTGCTGTAAGCAAACTTCAAATTACATATGCCACGGCGCAAAGGGGGAGGGAGAGAGAGAGAGAGAGAAATGCCTCGTTATGAAGTTTCTGCGATCAATTTGAATAGTGTCTGTTGCTTATAGTCAGATGCCAGCGAATCAGCATGCACTGCATGTCTGTAGATATGTGTGTGTGTGTGTGTGTGTGTGTGCATGTATATAGGTGAAAAACAGCATATAAGCATGTGCATGCGCGTGTGTGTGTTTGTGTGTGTGTGGGGTGCGTATGCAGCATATTCCAAGATCTGTTTATTGTTTACACTGGACGCTGCGTAACGAGAGATGCCAAAAAACAGAAGCAAGAAGAAGAAGACGGAGCAAGAGGAACAACTAGGGAAGGGGTCATGCTACATATAAAAACTTAAAATGTGTTTGCGGCGGCAAAATGAGCCCTATAAATAAGGAGCTCAAGAAATACTCTATAAAGCAAGAAACGAAAATTTGAACTTTTGTTTTATACTATTCAATAACACAATAAATATACATATATCCACATATACATATACACATGTATGTGTATACATATATGTATACATATTTGATATATATTCTACGATCTCTGTCAAAATTCAAGTGCATCAATAGATGCATATGCCCAGCTAGTCAGTTAGGGTATAGGAATTCTTTTGGCCAGCCAAGCAACGCGTGCCTGGCCGACCCATCGGTTGGCCTGGCTATGTAATAAAGCACACACATTTGCCTCCAATTGAATTTTGTTACAATTTATATTTGAACATTTCTTCGGAAACAACAGGGGCGAAAGCCAGCTGAGGAGGCGGGCCGCGGCCCGCGGGCGTGGACTGAGTGGAATGAGATGAGAGCCCAAAATTACATTGTTGTTGCTGCTGGAGCTTTAATTGCTGCAGCTATTTATGCACTTGATGCTCCAACTGCCCCCAACTAGATGGCCAGCTAGTCTCACTCCACCTCCAGCTCGACCCCCCTCTTCTGGCTATCTTCTTGCCCTACTCTTTCACAGACCATTTGTAAACGGATTGGAATGGATTTTGAGTTTGAATTGCTTTGGAGCTGATTTTCCCGAGTGCCGAGCCCTAATCACTTGGCTCATGATTACTCTCCACTACAGTAGTCGCTCGTGGAATGGAATTGTAGTTTGATTAATCTCTTAATCCCTCTATTTTCCTACCTCCCTTTGCGCTTGTTGCATATAGCTTTCTCTCTTCCTCGTGCCTTCTTTGTCCTGTTCCTTTGTCTCTCTCTCTCTCTTTCTCTGCTCTATATGACTTTTGCTTGCCTCTCTCCCTTTCCTCCGCTATATCGCTCGGTACCTCTCAACCTCTTTCTTATTGTATTATTTTCCCATATACTCGTCACTTGATTTCCCTTTTTCCGCCTTTCAATCTACTTTGCTCTCATTATCTCCCTCTCTCTCTCTCCCTATTTAGCATTATGCTCCTCTCTTTATGGGTCAAAGTCTTTTCAGACTTCTCCACACAATTTGCGCTGAACAATTGCTAAATTAACATACTCTGTAATTCCGTAGCCTCGTAGCCTCGTAGCTTCGTAGCTCCGGAGCTCTTCGCTCGGCTACTCTCCGCCTTAAGTGCTCAAATGGAACGAGAACAGTTAGTTAATAGAGCCACAGAGCTAATGCGTAATGGCGAATGACTGATGGTTAATGACAAATGCCTAATGATATAATATGACAACAACATTGACAATTAGCGACAGCAATTGAAATCGTCAACTGAACATCTTTAAACTGAAGTCAGTCACAGGACTTCGATCGGATATGATAATACTGCGTTAGACTATCATGAGATATTACTAAAGACATATGTGACCCATATAGTGAGCTTTGCGTATTATATCAATTGGGTATCGAATACAGCCTGCGAATGTGGACAGCAGAGAGCCCTTTGACTAGAACGTCAAACAGCTCTGCCTTGGACTGGGGAGAACTGTTCAGGGAGCTCATTCATTCAGTATATCTCGATACAAGCATATACAAAAAAACAAATATATTTTTATACAAATATATATAGGTTTATATTTTATATTTTACCACATTTAGAACGATCGAAAGCCATGYCGCTTTGTACTTTGGATCGACTCATCACCATCTTTTCGCCAGGGGGGCGCCTGTACCAGGTGGAGTTCGCAGCCAAGGCAGTCAACAGGGATAATCGCACAATGGTCGCCATAGCGGGCGCCGACTGTGTTGTGCTGGTCGTGCAGAGGAAGCCGCTATCTAAATACGCCGTAAAAGAGACTGCGAATCGCATTTTCCGCATCTCAGATGTATTGGGATGTGCGGTGATTGGACGCCAAGCCGATTGCAAATCGCACGTGCACAGGGCCCTCCAGGAGGCGTGCGTGTTCCAGCACAGGTACGGATATCCGATGGCTGCCGACGTGATGTGCCAGCGCTTGGGGGACATCAATCAAGTGTATACTCATGATGCGAACATACGTCCGCTGGCCTGCTCGATAATCCTGATCTCGTACGACTTGCAGCTCGGGCCACTGATCTATAACACAGATCCCTCGGGCGTTCCAATTGGCTATCGCGCCTGCGTCTTCGGCAGCGCAATGCAGCGCGGCAATTACTACGTGGACAGCGTGTACAAGCACAATATGAGCAAGGACGAGACAGTCAAGCTGGCCATTAGAACCCTGGCCTTCGCCCTCGACAAGGAGCTGAGGGCGACCGACTTCGAAATGGCAATGGTCACCCAGTCGAATCCCTATTTTCACATCCTAACCGAATCGGAGATCAATACTCAACTCATCCGCATGACCAAAGGCCGAAAGCGCAAAAGGTGTTGCTAAGCTCTTACTAAGGGGCTGTTGAGCCAAGGCTCAAATTCAATTATAACGATTATCTGAAAAAGCAATATATTCTGTTTCTTTTTATACCTTAGAGGCATCCATATCGAACTGTTATAGATCGCGAGCACTAAAGATCCCAAGATTCCAGTTTGATTATAAAGAGATTCGGGAAGGTTCAAAGGAAACCGATTTAGATTTCACCAGTATAAGCCTCAGAATCATGTTCATACCAAATTCGATATCTGTAGCTTCTATAGTTTTCGAGATATTTAAGTTTTTAAAGCTATCCAAAAAGTTAAATAATACCATGCCAGCTGGTAAAGGAGTGGAGAAGCCAAGATTGCGATGGATTCTACCATCTAAGGCATATGTCCTATACCTCTGAAGGTCTTCGAGAATCAACCAAAGGAACAGTAAGGTAATTAGATTTGAGCTTTATATAGCTGAGAATTACACACTTGGTACTTCTCGAACCATTGATACTACGATATATAAGATAGATGTACCTGTCATATACCTAATTTTCAACGATATTTTCGGTACTCACTCTGGATATACTCTAGGTGAGTCGTATGAGCGAGCAGGGGACGGTAGTTCGATTCGAGCGACGCTTCAGCTTAATTAACAAAAACTTTTGGTGCAGCCGCATTTAACGGCAGTTTCACAAGCAACAGGTGGTGGGGGCTACGAGGAGGGGCCGGCGGGCAGGTGTGGCTGCTGCAAGGCAGGTGAAAATCGTTGGGGCGACAGCCGCTGCGTAAATTTTACGCAATTTGGGACAACAAATTACACGCACTGCAATTTACTGAAGACTGGAAGCGAAGACTGGAAGCAGAGACTGGAATGGCGGCTAGGCCTGTGTGGGCCTGGCGGGCCTGCTGAGTCTGTAGAGTCTGGCGGGCATGGCTGCCTCCCCGATTGAGGTTATGAGACGCTGTCGCTTGTTGTCTCGGCCCGAGGCGCGCGGCGATTATGCAAATGCATCGAATTTCGAATTTCACTTGACCGAAAACGCATCTAAGACGCATCGAGACGCCGAAGCCATAAAAATCAAGTCCAGCCAGACAAATTCCATTTCAAATACAGTGCAGAGCATGTGCGACTGGCACATACCCTGTAAGATCACAAATACGATTTAATGACAATATAGTAAAATGTAAATGCCACATGATTCACATGCATGTAAGGGATATCCTCTAGGAGCAATTCAGAGTGTCTGTAGCTAAAAGGAAAGGGCTGCTTATCGATATTTATCGATTTTAGAAGGCAATATTAGCTTCAAATCAAATCTTCATTCATTGCTGTGTGCGCATGTGAAACTACATTAATTTAATTATTTTTATTTTTACTCTATTTTGGACTTGAGTGAATGCACGTACATATGAAATGGTATTAAGACAGATCTGTACGACTTGTGTTTCGGTTTTATCTTTTACGCAATTGGCATATCGTACATGGCTTTACAGCAACAACAACAACGTCGACGGGGTTTTTTTTGGTAAAAATTGCGAGACATTAAGAGTTGATGACCCCGAAAGCCCAAAGAAGATGTCGAACGAAGCCGAACAGCAACAAGAAAATTGACTCGATTACAGAAATGAGAAAAAAAAGAGAGAAAAAACGGCAAAGGCCATGAAATCAAAATATCTCATGTTGATTGATGTGTGATCCGAAAATGTACCAAGAACCAAAAATCAATAACTGTAAATGGCTAAAGAGCACAGTTTGCCAAGGTTTCACAATGCCAAAAACTGAAACCAGCTAACTAACCATGGAAACTTGGCTATTTACCAAGCGATCCACATGAAGTTTGTGGAATGCATCGAGTAGAGACTTATAAGAGTAAATATTCCAAAAATTAAGCTGATGGAGCGACTGATGAGTGATATTTTCAATAACAACTATGTAAAGCCAGCTAACATTTGTATCTATAGTCATCTCTCAGTTCATTCCAATCAACAAATCCAATTGACTAACTCACTTGAATCGCAAATCCAATTCAATCGGAAGCAATTCCAATTGGCATTGCATAGGCGCATCTCACTCAATTTACGCCTATCAATAGATTGCTTGCCAAATACACAGCTCATTCCAATTAACGCGTATCCAATTGGACTTAACATAATTCCAATAGCACTCCAATTGCTTACCTCTGTGTACTGTTTGAAACTGTTGATCAACTGTTGCGCGGGCTCAACAGTTGCGGTTGCATAGCGTATGGCAGTTAATAACGGAAGTTTCGGTTGACCGCAGGATACGCCAAAGTGTTCCAAGTGCGAGCGAGACTGCAGATATGTAGCCAAGACCTTTGATTTTGATTTTTGTTTTGATTTTTGTTTTGATGTAAGCTTTGGCTCTGGCTTCGGCTTTGACTTTGGCCTCGCAGCGTGTCGAACGTTAAGGTGAATATTTTTCACACGCTTTCACTTGCATATCAACCAAAAAAATAAAACAAAACCAAGAAACGCACACATGAAAACAGAATTTTGTCGCTTTGCTTTGCTTTGCGTTTTGCAGTTATTTTGTATTTCGCGTAACTGTATTTAACTGCACTGCAATATTTGCATTTGCAGTAGTTTTTGCTCTTCCCTCAGCACAAAAACAAACATAAAACACAAACACACAAAAAAAACAAGAATCGGCGCGAGAATCGTAAAAAACAATGCAAACAAAGTCAAATAAAAACCAATTGCCGGCAGCTGAACGCGCGCAAACTCCTTCCTCTTCGAAAGCGATACAACAACTGTTTTTGTGTTTGCCCAGCGTAGACAGGTCGGAGCGCAACATGTGTGTGCGATTGATACTGCGCAAGCTGACTATCGATGTATGGCGCCAAGATGAGCAGCATTTTAAATGGTCACGAAATGATGTTTTTATGTGAATTGGGTGAATAATTGAATTAAAGCATATATCAAAATAAGTGAAAAAATCCAATTTTATTTTTAAATTGTTTAAATTAGTGCAATATAGATTTAAGCTTGCTCTAACTGCAACAAATATCGGCTAGAAAATATATCAGCTATCGTTATGCTCTTCATTGCGCTAGTCGACGACCACATGATAAAACTTTGCATAAAAACAAATACTTAAAAACATTTGGCTGCAGGGCATATTATAAAGTGCATATTGTTACTTTGTTATATTAATTTTATGTAAATTCAGCCTATACCAGAAAGGCAGATTTAAATTTTAACTGCAAGCGCGCCAATACACAACATGCTATCGATTAGTATTCTAGTGCTGCACTACTTGGCGATTTGAAGTAGCTGTTACCTGACGCTAGAGGGCGTCACAGTTGATGTTTCTTTACGCTGCCTGGCCAAATGGCGCTGTTATTTGTTATCACTGACCAGAGAACACATAGACTAGACATGTAGTACAAAGTTTTTCAACACCGAAAAATCTGACTCATAGGGCCTATCANGGCATACAAATGCTCATAGTACATGTAGCAAGCGAGAGTGTGTATGCATGCTAATCGCGAAAACATTTTCATTATGCGCACCAACGCTTTCATACCCTTCCCACAAATAATAACGAAAACGCATGGCAAACGGCTTGAAGAGTTCGGAATACACTTCACGTAAGGGAAGAAACGGCAGTCTAACGCGAAGAAATTTCAATTTTCGTGAGCTGCTGCTTGTGCTCACATGCATACATACATATACATATTGAGAGAGCAGAGAGCAGAGAGAGCGAGAGAGCAAGAACAAAAATTGAGCATAGAGGCATCTTTTATTCAACATTTGACCATCTCGGTCGAGCGCATGAAGCGGAATGATTGTACCTTCGCATATTTTCGTAGCCCGAACCTAAAAAGTGAAGAGCCGAGCAAATACGAAWTTGATAGGCCCTATGAGTCAGATTTTTCGGTGTTGAAAAACTTTGTACTACATGTCTAGTCTATGTGTTCTCTGGTCAGTGTTGTTATTGAAAAGACACTCGTGAGAGACTTAGAGAATTCAAACTAATTTTTAAATCGAATTTTATTGTTTTTTCATATAATTTATCAAGCTGTAAAAATAATTATTAATAATTGCACAATTGTAAAATTTAGCACCTATCGAAAGCTGCGATAGTTTGTATGTGTGCGCGCACTAAAAGTACTTTCGATAAAAGACGTATATCGATAAGTGCACTTACTTTCTGTTTCTTGCGCGAACTTTTGAAAAAGGTTATCAGCTGATGTTTATATTTTATTACATAATTATTGTTGTTGTTTTTCTTTTTTAATGAATATGATTTGCAATTTCGCTGTGGGTAAAACCCACTTTAATGCAAAACAAAAAAGTGTGTGTTTTCTCTCCGTCTCTGTCTCGGTCTATATGTCTCTCTCTCTCTCTCTCTCTCTCCTCTCTCTCTCTCTCTCTCTCTCTCTATGGATTCGACAGCCAATGGGACCATTCCTGTATTTCATTATACAGCGTCAGACCTGGACTCATTGTGCTTGTCACCTGGGATGCTCCAATCAATGAGTAATCCTCACTCAGCTCGCCCAGCTTAACGCCGCATTCCAACAGCTTTCGACAGGCATCCAAAGCAGCCGCCGAGGGCAACTTATCTAGAGGGAGAAGGAAAAGGAACAAAATTAAGCAGAAGAAGATCAGTGATGGTCGCCTCTACTCACCCACAAAGTTGCCGATGAAGGCAATGCCCGTTCCGTTCGCATTGTAGCCGTAGGTATGGGAGCCTCTCACACCCCAGCCGGTGCCTTCGTAGACAAGTCCATCATTCCCTATAAGAAAGCTAGAGAGTATTGGGTCGAACATTAATAGAAATTCAATTTAAAGCAAGACTATATAAGTTCCCTGTATATCATATACCCTGTAAAAGGACTTTACTAAAAATTCAAATATAATGCCATGCATAAAAATACCCTGTATAAGAAGCTATTCAACTGAAAATACTCTACGGAGCAACATTTTCAAGTCTCTATTGTGGGGCATATCAACACATTCACCAAATACCCTGTAAATAGCAGATTCATGTGTAGCAACCAATAGGAATACCCTGTAACACACGCACTTGTAGCCAATGTCGTAGTAGTCCAGCTCTGTCTGATGATACGCCTGCATACCCTGTAATATCTCGGCGCACTCAACGAAGCCGCTGCACTCCGCAGTCACCGTGTGATGGATGACCACGTAGCGTATGGGCCGCAGCTGATAATTGAGGCTGCGCGCCGGCTTGCCGCCCCACTGACGCTTCAGCTTGGTGGGCGGGCATACCCCGCCCTTTTTGCGCCCCTTGCCTGAGCCGGATCCGGCACCGGAACCGGAGCCAACAGCAGCCAATGCCACAAGGCAAACGAAGAGAACCAGAAGTGAATGCCTCAAGCTCGACATCTTCGGTTGCTTCCTTCCCTCTTCTTCTGCTTCTTCTACTTTACTTTTGTTAGCTTCTTCTTCTTCTTCTTCCACTGATACCAGTGATTCCAGTGTTGTCTGCTCGTCTCTGACTACAACTGAGAACTGATCGAAGCAGCCGAAGCGCAACGTCTTCTTATCAAGCAAAGCAGCTGATGAGGCTGGAGGGCGGTGCGAAGGAGAGCGGACAAATGTGGGGGAGGGGGAAAAAGAGGGCGAAGCGTGTGTCTAAATAATATGATCATGAAAACAAGTTCTGTTTCTTAATCTTCAATATGCGTGATGAGTGAAAAGGTAAGGTAGGGTATGCTGATTACGTGAGTCATGTTGCCCATTGATTGAGGAAAGAGAACTATAGATCTCTATATATATATGATACGATTATATATGAGTGCATTATATACATATATACGTACATATGAATGCGTGATGTCTC